AGCGGTGAAGGGGTAAAGCGGTGAAGGGGTAAAGCGGTGAAGGGGTAAAGCGGTGAAAAGATGCAGCGGTGAAGGGGTAAAGCGGTGAACAGATGCAGCGGTGAAGGGGTAAAGCGGTGAAAAAATGCAGCGGTGACGGGGTGCACGTGAAGGGGTGCGCGGAGGAGACGTACCTGAGAGCAAAATGTACAGAATGACCCCGCAGGACCAAATGTCGCACTTCTCGTCGTACGTTCCATGCAGGACGTCGGGCGCAATGTAATACGCAGTGCCGATCTTGTCCTTCATCTTCTTGCTGTACTCGAAATGCGTAGACAAGCCAAAGTCAATAATTTTAATAATCATGTCTTCCTTGTTCTTGGTCTCCAATAAAATATTTTCCGGCTTCAAATCCCTATGCACGACGTTATTCTTGTGCATGTAGGTGATGCCACTCAGAACCTGCTTTATGATCCGCGCCGCATCTACTTCATAGAACCTCTTCCTGCTAATAATCTCGTCGAATAGTTCCCCCCCAGAATAAACATCAGACACCAAGTAGTAGTAATTGTTGTCCTCAAAAAATTCATATAGCTTCATGATGTTGATGTGGTCTAGCATCTTTAACAGCTCCACTTCCCTCAGGAGACTTTGCTTGTCCGTCTTTCTCTTTACATGCTTCTTGCTTATCACTTTTATAGCGTACTCATGTCCTGTGTGTTTGTCTCTACTGAGTATAACTTCTCCGAAGGATCCTTTGCCCAAAATTTTTATTCCCTTATATTGCTCATTAAAAACCACGTTGCTATTTTGTATGAACATCCCTGGTCTTAACTTACTATTGTTAAAACTATTTTGAGCAATTTTTTTGGACATTTGCAAATTATTTTCTTTCTGGTCCCCTTTTGTATTGTTTCCTTTCAAGTTTTTTTTGTAGCTTCCTCCTTTGCTTTCTTCATTTGGTGTGGAGATTTCTTGGCCCATTGTTTCAACAGAATGGTTCAAGGGTGAAGCAGATGCCTTCGTGTGGTCCTTAGAAGGGGATGCAGAAGATTAGGGCTTGGCTCTGGAGACTTTAAGGGGGGGGAATGAAGTCGGCAGCAACATGTGGATTTGACGTGGCAGGGGATGATCAGGACGGGAAAAAGCAAAAGAAAAAAAAAAAAAAAAAAAAAAAAAAAAAAAAAAAAAAAAAA